GCAGATAGCAGTCAGCTGAAGTGGCCTGCAGTACTGCGCTCTACCCACTGCGCCACCTCGGCTCTTAAAGCAATGGTTGCATATACAGACATTGCCAGATGGAATATATAAAAATAACTGACTACATTTTTGTAAAAGGGAGGTGGAAAAGCTCGGTGATAACACCAAAAAAACATGACCAGGTGTGCTAACTACTGAACAGAATGTGAACTTCTCTTGAGCAAGTTCCAATTTAAACTAAAGAAGAAAGATAACCAATTTTCCACAATGATTTTCAGAATGTAACCACCTTTTTCAAGGAAAACACCAAGAAGCCTTGAATCTCATTGTTAAGAGGACCAGAGGAACTGTGAAATGCACTTAAAGAAGTGGTTCAGGATGAATGGATGAATGTACTTCAGCTCTCAAAGATACTACCAACATGAACATAGAAGGCAACCAATTTACATTTATTCTTCCTGCAAGCACAAATATATTTCATGCTTAGCTTGGTAGCATTTTATGATATGGGAATTATATTACTTGAACAAACTCAGTTTTCTTAGTCATATTGCTACCTGAGTTATGAAAAGTTCTGTTTAACTTTTATTTCTTATAAACACTAAAGTAAAAATATAAGGAAAACAACCCAAAGCTAAAGATTGCATCACATGAAATATTATCATATAACTTTAATGTCATTTTCTTAATTTCCTAATTCAAAAACATGTTTAAAAATACCTTTCTGCCATCACTTGCGTGGCAATTGACATTTAATGGTGTTAGAAGAGCCATTAATTTTTCTTCATTTCCACTCCTAAAAAGAAAATCAATATTCATGAACATTTTGTAAACTGCAAACTTTCATTTTACTCAATGAAAGTAATAAGGTAATTTATTTATTTTACTCCTCTCTGCAAAGCAAACTATTACTATATTAAGTCTAATTATTAAATAGGTATCTTTAGGCTTGATTTTACAAGTGTAGTTAGCTTTCTACCTATTATGCTTTGCATGTTTCATTATGCTTAAAGCCCATTTGCCAAGATTTAATTATTCCTTTTTCAACAACACATGGTATAATGCTTAAAGCATCAGGCGAGAAACCGAGAGATTGAGTTCGAGTACTGCCTTGGGCATAAAGCCAGTTGGGTGACCATGAGCCAATCATTTTCTCTCACACCTAGGAAGGAGGTAATTGCAAGCTACTTCTGAAAAACCTTGCCATGATTACCATAGAGTTGTCAAGGTAGTTGCCTGGAGTCCATACTGACTCAAAGGCACAAACGGAAAAGTATTGTTAAATACGTATTGTATACATGTTAACCTGCACACAAATGTAGCTGAATTGGTATTGCTTCCAAATGGCCTGTAAGGGCTGAAAGATCAGGTCCACATATGAAGATTCAATTAAGCTGATTTATTGCTAACAGCCTATGCACAGGAAATCTTCTCAACTAAGTCAGCACCTGATGAGAGTTAGATAAGGGTCAGTGGCACTCAATGGGAGTTGGGACATAGTTTGCTTGTAGCTACATAGAGATTCTAGGCTTATTCCTCTTTTCATTCTGCCTCCAAGTCCTCTCATTCATTCTCTTACATGGGCGAAGATAACTGTGCTATAAATGTATAATGCAGTGGGGCAAAAAAGTATTTAGTCAGCCACCAATTGTGCAAGTTCTCCCACTTAAAAAGATGAGAGAGGACTGTAATTGACCTCATAGGTAGACCTCAACTATGAGAGACAAAAATGAGAAAACAAATCCAGACAATCACACTGTCTGATTTGGAAAGAATTTGTTTGGCAAATTATGGTGGAAAATAAGTATTTGGTCAATATCAAA